GAGGGAAGGTTCAGGTGTGGAGGGAAGGTTCAGGTGTGGAGGGAAGGTTCAGGTGTGGAGGGAAGGTTCAGGTGTGGAGGATTCACTGAGCTACTTAGCTCCTGTCCTAAACGCTCGAACATTTCCGTATATTTGGATGCAAGATCATGTCCTTCTCCTACACTGGCCCTCCTCCGCCTCTACCACCATTACCACCGACTGCCATAACCCCCTCATCTCCACCATCTGCTTCCACAACCCCCAACCACCATAACCTCTAATCCCCCTTACCACTACCAGGAGGTAAAATATGGTGATCAACGGATTAGAGCACCATTATCGGGTGCCCCCTGGAGTGCCCTGGGGTTCCCCTCGTGGTGCCCCCTGGAGGTGCCCCTGGTGGGTCCTAGGTGCCCCCTGGTGATGCCCCTGGTGGTGCCCTGGGTGGTGGTGAAGGTGTGAATTGGCTCTGCTGTGGTGAGCCGGATATGGTGTTGTTTAGACAAAGAGATATAATGTGCGTGTGCGTGTGTGTGTGTGTGTGTGTGTGGGGGTCAGATCCTTCTAATACGTTCATGATCATTCTTCACGGCCAAGACCTCCATCGCCCTGTTCTGACGAATACCTGTCGCTGCCTTGGTCGAACTGAATATAAACAACATCAAGGTAATTAAATCGTCATGAGCGCTGGCTGGGCAACACGGCCTCCTGTGTGTGCACGGGTCGCTAAGTGCTGCTCTGTTGTCCGACAAGCCAGAATAGGATGGCTTTGTCTGTCAGATGTTTCATATTAGACTTCTATTCTCTGTTTCCTTCCTTCCTTCCTTCCTTCCTTCCTTCCTTCCTTCCTTCCTTCCTTCCTTCCAACCCCCGACCCTCCCTCCCTATTCCCCTGAGGGTTAACAGTATCGACAGATGATATAGTTTGCGAGGTGAAACACCGAAGTATATTAGACCAGAAGTAATGAAGATCTATTTTGACCTTGAAGACTTAACTGATACAAACATTTAGGATATATATATATATAAAGGGGGAACTAGTGTAATATTTTGCATGGAAATTTAGGAGGAATTGTAAGTGACCCAAAGATTAAATTTACCTCATAAGAGTAGTTATTTAGCATAAGAAAAAGTAATGTAATATTTTTTACTAATGATTATCTAATAACACCTTGAAGTAACACCAGAATCAAGACAGTATTTTTTCTTTCTTTTCTCAGCTTTTTAAATCTTTTATTACAAGAAACTTATGACTTTTTTTTTGGTTATATAAACATCTTAAAACCATAACCAATTCTAATCTCTATCCAACCCCCACTCCCCATCCCACCACACCCCACCCCACCACACCTCACCCCACCACACCACACCCCACCACACCCCACCCACCCCACCACACCTAACCCCACCCTGCACCACACCTCACCCCACCCCATCCCACCTACCTCCCACCCAAACCCCACCCCACCACACCTCACCCCACCCAAAAAAAACCCCCAACCTATAGAAAAAGCAACAGAACATTGGATATTGATTCTGGTGAATATATATACTTTTTGTCCAACACCTCCTCCCCCTCCCCCTACTGCGCCTCCTTCAGTGATGCTCAGGTCTTGGTATCCCTTGTTGATTGTGAAGTCTTGTTCCTTGAGAAGTTCCTCCACAGAGACTAAATCATCCTCAAGTGTCCTTCCATATACAAGACCTCTAGGGGGTATCACGCCTCAAGGGTCATGAAGAAGAAGGTGTAGTCTTATATGTCTGACCTAGTAAAACAAAACAAAAACACATAGAGATACAATATAGTTATGTCCTACTTGTTTACGGTGAGTCTGTACCTGAACACAACCAGATCTAAACGAAGCTATTAAGTTATGTGTCGTATCGAAATTGGAAGTATTTTTTGTTTCTTGCATAGACAACAGATGACTCTCGTAATCCTGTCCTATGAGTTTTCCTTTGGTGAGAGAGAGAGAGGGAGAGAGAGAGAGAGAGAGAGAGAGAGAGAGAGAGATTGAGAGAGAGAGAGAGAGTCGTAAGAATACTGAGAACATTGTGGAATAGTTCGACCCTGGTGGACGTGATAGTCAGGATAGTCCATGTGGGGGGCGAAGTGGAGTGCTCTAACTTCCTGCCTCGCTAAAGTTAACATCACCAGGCAGGGGAAGTAAGTGTGTGTGTGTGTGTGTGTGTGTGTGTGTGTGTGTGTGTGTGTGTGTGTGTGTGTTTCTTTATCAATTTGTCTCTATCTTTATTTTTCACTGTTTCTCCCTTTCTTTCTCTCCCTAACTCCCATTCCATTTTCTTTCGTTGTCTTTCTCACTTTCTTTCTTTCAAATTCTCTCTCCTCCTTCTTTCTGCCTCCCTCTTTCTCTCTCTCTCTCTCTCACTATCTCTAATCCCTTTATCTCTTACAACCAATGAGAGAAGACTTTAACTTACGACCCTTTGAGATTCGCCACCAATCACCATCAATTATTATTCCTGAGAGCTCTTTATGTAACCTATCACAACTCGGGGATGTGATGACGCAACTGCCGAGTCGACCAATGCCTATCGGCCTTTTCGATGACGTAATGATGTTTATTAATCCTCCAACCAATCAATAGCCAGCATTTTCCGAGCTCCCTAATGCTCCATTTATTTAGACATAAGATGTGTTTTTAGGGTCGCTTCTCTGACCTTTTAAATTATAAACAATTAATCCTCTGCCTTAATGAGCCAAGTTGTAACGTAGATGTTGACGTCATCATTCACACAGCCAATCACCAAGTGTTTTTTTTTCATTTCGTGTAATGATAAAGACAATAAACAAGTCTCCACCAATTACAAGACAAGGTTACCGTGACGTCATAGCGATAGGAACCAATTAAAGAGATGGATTCTTCCTTCTTGAGAGGTCGATACTACTGCCCTGGACACCTGCGTAATGTCCAACGAGATGGTTAAGATTGTGAGGTATTTGGGCGTTAACTACTTCATATGACAGATGGATAACCTAACTTAACCTAACCTAACCTACCCAGACCACCAGGAGGATGACATTCCGATATCGTATCAGTAACCTCTCTCTCTCTCTCTCTCTCTCTCTCTCTCTCTCTCTTCTAATGGATGAGTGAAAAGTCTCCCTCTAACACAGTTGTATAAGCTCGAACTACACTCAACAGGATCAAACAACCATTTAAAGAGATCGAAAACCATTTAAGATGATTTATTACCAAGTAAAGGGATCCACCACAAGACTGCCACCACGGACCTGTTACGTAAAGCTTCTGGTAAGAGAGGAAATTGGCTCTTGTTCTGAGAGAGAGAGAGAGAAAGAGAGAGAGAGAGAGAGAGAGAGAGAGAGAGAGAGAGAGAGAGGATAAATACTTCTGCTGTTTCTGTTTTGATGTCAAATGATACATCCTTAACTCATTGGTGTTAACAGTAAGTGTAAAATTACGAAGAAGAAAGTCATTAACTAACACTAATTACTCGAATATATAAGTTGTGAACCTTGAACCTGAATCAGTGTGTTAACCCTTTAACGACGATGATTTAACCCTTTGACGACGAACATTTAACCCTTTAACGACGATGATTTAACCCCTTAACGACGATCATTTTACCATTTAACGACTATGATTTAACCCTTCAGGACTCAAAGGGTTAATTAGTTCCTCTGTGTGGTAATCTGAACACAATCCAGGTATGACCCCAAGTGACGTAACGCAAGGTATTAGGTCAGGTGTATTTTGGGACTTCAAACAATATATATATATTTTTTTTATTTAAAACTAACCTGTTTATATAGTAAAGATAGTTTATATTTGTAAGAAAATGTATATAAAAGTGATTTATTAAAACTTACAGGCAGCGTACATCCTCTCTCTCGGAGGAAGAAATAAAAAGAAGAAAAGTTTTGTTTCGGCCAGCAACCTCTGTCCTCTCTCTCTATGAACCAGAAGGACACATGTGCCCCCAGGAGATGTGTGTGTGGGGGACAGAAGGACGTAAACCACATTGGAGTATGGCCCAGGGAGGGAGGGGGGGAGGAGGGGGAGAAGATTTACAGTTGGTGGGGATGCAACAAGTTCTGGGAGGGGGGGAGGGGGTGAGGTGGGGGTGGAGGGGGAGGGGGGGGGGGGAGGGAGGTGGGGGAGAGGGGGGGGGGTGAGGGGGGGGGTGAGAGGTGGGGTGAGGGGGGGTGGGGAGAGGGTGGGGAGGGGGTGAGAGGTGGGAGGGGGTGGAGAGGGGTGGGGGGGTGAGAGGGGTAGGGGTGAGAGGTGTGGGGTGAGAGGTGGGGGTGGTGAGAGGTGAGGGGGTGGAGAGGGGTGGGGGGTGAGAGGGTAGGGGTGAGAGGTGTGGGGGTGGAGGAGGTGGGGGGGTGGGGAGAGGTGAGGGGTGAGGAGGGGTGGGGGGTGAGAGGGGTGGGGGTGAGGAGGTGGGGGGTGAGAGGTGTGGGGGGTGAGAGGTGGGGGTGAGAGGGTGGGGTGAGGGTAGGGGGTGAGAGGTGGGGTGAGAGGTGGGGGTGAGAGGTGAGGGGGGGTGCCTCAACCAGCCCCATAGGTGTAGAAATATCTCTTTCTCTCTCTCTTTCTTAATCAACCATATACAAATTACCTGTGTTGTTATTAGTATCCACCTGTATCCTAATTAGTATGCACCTGTGTCCTAATTAGTAGTCACCTGTGTCCTAATTAGTAGTCACCTGTGCCATAATTAGTAGAGTCACCTGTGTCCTAATTAGTTTCCTGTATCATAATTAGTAAGGTTACCTGTGTCCCAATTGACACTGTGTCCAATTAGTAGTCACCTGTGCCATAATTAGTAGAGTCACCTGTGTCCCAATTAGTTTCCTATCATAATTAGTAAGGTTACCTGTGTCCCAATTAGTAATCACCTGTGTCCTAATTAGTAGTCACCTGTGTCCTAATAAGTATCTACTTGTTTCGTAATTAATCACATGTGTCTTAATTAGTAGTCACCTGTGTCCTAGTTAAGAGAGTCGCTGCTAAGCTTCCCGTTTTTCTCCACAGACCCGCAAGCGATGGTGACGTAGGTATCACGTGACTATGGCAGTGACGTCACTCCCTGATGGCAATGGTACTATGATCCCGTCCTCTGATATCCTGGGAGGTAAGTGTGTGTGTATGTGTGTGTGTGTGTGTGTGTGTGTGTGTGTGTGTGTGTGTAATAATAATAATAATAATAATAATAATAATAATAATAATAATAATAATAATAATAATAATAATAATAATAATAATAATAATTAACGGTTTATTAAAAAAGTTCTGCAGCCCGAAGGCTGAAATATATACATTGGACATAAATGACTTATTACATACATTGGTTGTTTAACAAAAGCCTTCATTAGAGAAAGGTAAAGGAACATACAGTGACCATACAGATTAATGTAGGTGTTGAACAGCAAACTCGTAGCGTAGTAACTCCCTCACAGATGGTGTTATGAGGGACCTCACGTGGTGTAGTAGTTCCCTCACAGATGGTGTTATATGAGTGAGGTGTGGTCCCAGAGGCCTTCCTATCGTGGACGGATTAACACATCGCTGGTTGTTGTTGGGTCTCACGGGCAGTTATCACTGGGTACCTGTGTGAAGTTAACTTGGGTACGACTCAGCTGTTTCTGTTGAGTTGTTCTCACTGACTTAAGCACTGTTCACCACTGTTCACCTCTGTTCAATACTGGTTTTATTCCTTTCCTAAATGAAATTGTAACTTCTGGCGAGAACTTGTTGATATTCCGGTGGGGAGGAGGGTTCATGGGAGGGAGTTGGTATGGGCCAACATTACAGTTGACCTGGCTGCTCCCAGAGGAGCGCCAGGTACGTCTTGACCCTTCGGTGGTGTGTGTGTTGAAGTTATGAAGGTGTATGGTTATTTGTTGTTCATCTGAGAGAGAGAGAGAGAGAGAGGTCCTAAACATATCGTTCTTGTCTAAATATCACATGAAATTGCTTTCATAAAAATAGAAAAATATAATTATTTCTCTCTCTATGTCATCAACAGACCCTTTGAGGATTTTAAAATTAAATCTTAATATTCGACAGGAAGCCCCCTAACTCCCTTCCCTCCCTTCCCCTTCCTCCCTTCCTCTCTCCTACCCTTCCCTTCCTTCCTCCCCATCCTCCATTCCCCTCCATCCCCCTCACCCCTACCCCCTCCACCCTCCCTCCCCCGCCAACTATAGACCTAGTGATCTTGTCAATATCCAGGTGTGAGTGGCCTCTTACCTGGCAACCAAACACCTTTTTAATTAACCTCACCTGATTAACTCAACTAATATATTCAGAATAATTTAAATAACACTAGAGGTAAATCTCTCTAATTGTTTTGTATATACAATAATTTTTGTTTCATAATTATCTAAAGTGCTTAATGACCCTGGTAATTGTAGTATTTAAATTAACACATCAATTAGTATGTTAAATTATGTATAAGTTTATTAATCTATAAGACTTGGAGCATCATTATTTAGTTCTATGACCTGTATCATACTAAATACTGGGTCATTAGTCTTTACTTAATTACTAAAACAATATATTTCACCCGTATAAATGATGTATTAACTGGTATGCTCTCCTCATTTAATATTTACTGCATATATGTATTTTTATGTATATTCTGAGTAATCTTGGTATTTATGTTATAAATTTAGAACTAACTCTCTTTTTTTTTCTTCATTAGATTGAAAGAAAAATATGTGAGTTTATTTTGTTTATTATTTCCCTTTAGCTCAGGGTGTTAAGTGAACGTGTTGCTGTGTAGAGATAGCTGTTCACTCCCTTTCCTTCCCTCCATCCTCCCTCCTTTCCCTCTCTCCCTCCCTCCCTCCCTCCACACCGGGCACTAACACTCCCTCCTCCTACAGACGCGGTGACGGCATCATCTTCACCTCTGGACGACGAGGCCTTCAAGAGATACCTGAAGGACAAGGAGAAGGAGCTGGAGGTGAGTGAGAGGCCGGGGAGCGTGAGAGGCCGGGGAGAGTGAGAGAGTGAGTGGATGAGTGAGAGGCCGGTAAAAGTGAGTAAAAGTGAAAAGCTGTAGAGAGTAAGTGAGTGGTCGAAGGAGAGAGAGAGAGAGAGAGAGAGAGAGAGAGAGAGAGAGAGAGAGAGAGAGAGAGAGAGAGAGAGAGAGAGAACACACTACAAGACTCACAGGAAACATGGCACTCAACCCCCCTTCCTCCCCCCGGGTTCCTCCTTGGTACTGTGTCTCCGTGTCACCCTCAAAACCTGTCCTCCTCCACACACACACACACACACACACACACACACCAGGTCACGGCTCTCTCCTCGACACACTGAACACTAATGAAACATTTATATTCCTCAAATTTATTCATGTTTTTTTTATTTATAACCTCCACGACTGCTGTGTGAGTAAAGTTCAAGTAGTGTCATCTTTGTCCATCTGTGTCGCCTAGTTAGTCACAGTCACCATAGAGCTGCCCCTAAGGTCAAAAGGTCAAGGTCATATTTTTCAATGAGTTTTTTCTTTTTCTGAAGCCGAGAGAAGGAGAGAGTTTGAAAAAAAAAGTGAGGGAAGAAGGGGGGAGTGAGGAGTGAGGGAAGGAGGTAGATGAGGAGAGAGAACATAAGAACATAAGAATGGAGGAAACTGCAGCGGGCCAATTGGCCCATACTGGGCAGTCCCGTTTACACCCAACCCCTATTGCTCATATGTCCACCCAACCTAAGTTTGAAGCTATCCAACGTATTCGAGTTAATGATGATATTTGGTAACTTGTTCCATTCATCCACTACTCTATTTCCAAACCAGTGTTTACCTATTTCACACCTAAATCTAAATTTGTCTAATTTAAAACCATTGTTACGAGTTCGCTCCTAGTTGGATAGTTTGAGTACCTTTGTTATGTCCCCTTTGTTTAGCCCTGACTTCCATTTATACACCTCTATCAGGTCGCCCCTCACTCTACGTCTCTCGAGGGAGTGCAAATTAAGATGCTTTAACCTGTCTCTGCACTCAAGGTTCCTAATGCCCGGGATTAGTTTTGTCATTCCCCTCTGAATTCTCTCCAATGATTCTATATCCATTCTGTAATACGGTGACCAGAACTGAACTGCGTAATCCAAGTGAGGTCTCACAAGCTCAAGATATAGTTTTAAGATGACCTCGCTAGTCTTGTAACTAAGAGTGAGGGAAGGAGAGAGAGGGGCGGTACAGGTGAGGGGTTAGAGAGAGGGGAGGTACGGGAGAGGGGAGGTACGGGAGAGGGGAGGTACTGGAGAGGGGAGGTGAGGGGAGGGAGAAGGGTGGTGAGGGAGAGGGGAGGTGAGGGGTTCAGTCTGGAATTTAAAAGTCAAGGGTCAAAATATATTTATTACGTGTACCTGAAAGTCGCGACGACCCTAAAGAGAGAGAGAGAGAGAGAGAGATAATAACAACAACAATAACAACAACAACAACCTCACATACAACATAACAAGAAATATATTACTTTCAAAATCCTCCTCAAGAAATATATCCCCCGACACACCTGTCTCCTCACCTGTAAATTAATTAAGTCAGGAAATAAAATACATACCGGAAAAATTAAACTTGAAAAATATTCTGAGAAAAAATCAAGGAGCTCTCTTAATTATATCCTCTGACCTGTAAGTTTAATTTCTTTTACGAGAGAAATTAATTAGCGAGTTATTTCTTCTTGCAGATAAGAGTTCAGGTGAGAGTTTATGGGAAGAATGACTTAGTAGTTTGTGAAGGGAAAGTGTATATGGATAATTTGTGATAATAGTTTGGATATAAATCAAGGAGATATATTTCAATTTGTTTTTGGACGGAAATGGTAAATAATTATGCCTATTTAAATGATGGTGTGTGTGTGTGTGTGTGTGTGTGTGTGTGTGTGTGTGTGTGTGTGTGTGTGTGTGTGGAAATATTTTAGAATATAATTAAAGCCTCGTTTAATTTTTGTGAGAATATTATTAATAAGATTTTCCACCTGGTTGCAATACAGGTAACCTTAGTATTCAGCACAGGTAACGTTTATGCCTCAATAACTCAGCACAGGTAACGTTTATGCCTCAATAACTCAGCACAGGTAACGTTTATGCCTCAATAACTCTGCACAGGTAACGTTTATGCCTCAGTAACTCAGCACAGGTAACGTTTATGCCTCAACTCAGCACAGGTAACGTTTATGCCTCAATAACTCAGCACAGGTAATGCCCCAATAACTCACCGTTTGGGAATTAAATGTAGAAATTGATGAGCTATTAATATTCATATCCATAAAATTAAACATTATGAAATTTGTAGAGACGAGGATGTTTTTAATCTATTTGAAACAGCCAATGTGTTTGTGCTTGGTTTATTGTGTCTATTTGTATTTATTTATTTACAGAGAGTTTATAGTTTGGAGATGTATACAGTGTGTGATAATTTCTGTTCTCTTTTTTTTCATTCTTTCTCTTTTTCTTCTCCTTTTTTCGTTTTTTTCATTTTTCCTCTCTCTCTCTCTCTCTCTCTCTCTCTCTCTCTCTCTCTCTCTCTCTCTCACCAATACGCATCAAGCATCAATAACTAACTCACCTCTATCAACCTCACCATCTCGACCTTATCTCTCCCTTCTACAGGAGTTCTACTCGACGTACGACGTGTGGACGGGGATCAGGACCGCCATCACTCTTGCCCTCTTCTTCGTCTTCACCGTCACCCTCATCCTCTACAAGAGCAAGTGTAAACCTCGACGGAAGTACGAGCTCTACCCCAGCCTCGAGGACATGCCTGATCGACCTCTTGATTATTATGATTACTGGTGCTCGAGTCCGGTGGAGGTAGGTGGGAGGAGAGGTGAGGGAGGGTGTTGGAGGGAGAGTGAGGGGGAGGGGTGGGAGGGAGAGGTGAGAGGCGGGGTGTTGGAGGGAGAGGTGAGGGGAGGGAGGGTGTTGGAGGAGAGGTGAGGGGGTGTTGGAGAGAGGGGTGTTGGAGGAGAGGTGGGGTGTTGGAGGAGGGGTGAGGGGTGTGGGGGAGAGGTGAGGGGGTTGGGGAGAGGTGGGGGTGTTGGAGGAGAGGGGAGGGGTGTTGGAGGAGAGGTGAGGGGAGGAGAGGGGTGTTTGGGGAGAGGGGTGTTGGAGGAGAGGTGGGGGTGTTGGAGGAGAGGTGAGGGGTGTTGGGGAGAGGTGAGGGGTTGGGGAGAGGTGAGGGGGGGTGGGGAGGAGAGGTGGGGTGTTGGGGAGGGAGGAAGTTTTGAGGTGTTGGGAGAGGTGGGGTGTTGGAGGTGAGGTGAGTGTGCTGGGGGGGAGAGGTGAGGGTGTTGGGGGAGAAAGAGGTAATGGGTAATGGGGGGAAGGAGGGAGAAAGAGAGGTACTGCGGGAAGCGTCATAGACAACTAGGTTAGGTTAGGCTGATGAGCTGTTATTGTTTCTTATGACTATTAAATTATTTCTCTTATTGTTGTTATTATTGTTATTTTTAAATTTATTATCATTATTATTACTATTATTTTCATCATTATTATTATTATTATTATTATTGTTGTTATTATCATTATTATTAATGTTATTATTATGATTATTTGTGTTGTTATCATTATTGTTATTATAATTATAGTTGTTGTAATGGACATTTTCCTCTCTATTGTATTGTACGTCTTGTGTATAGGTGCAAGAATAATCTCTCTCTCTCTCTCACTCGCTGATTCTCCTTCTCACTTCCCCCTCTCTCTATATCCTTCTCCGTCACCCTACTTCTCTCCCCCTCCCTCTCTCCCTCCTACATTCTCCGTTCCTCTCTTTCCGTATCTCTCTCACTCCCTCTCCCTACTACTTTCTCCCTCACCCTCCCTCTCCCCTATCCCCCTCTTCCTCACCCTCTTCCTTCCTCACTCTCCCTTCCCTCACTTTCCTTCCCCTACCTCCCTCTGTCTCCCTCACACACACTCTCACCCCTCTTCCCCAGTCCCTCAAAAGTTCTCTCCCTCCCTCCCTTTCCCTCACCAACACTACCTCTCCCTCACACGCCCTCACTAACCTCCCCTCCCGTCTACAGCGAGGACAGGAGAGAAAAGGTGAACGGCGTGGACAGCATAGGACGGTGTTACAACCATGGACGGGTGGGGACAGGATCGGCGCCCCTACCCACCAAGCGTTCCGTGGGGTCCTACTCCAGTCTAAACAACTCCTTCAGGTGAATCCTACTGGAGTGTTCCTTCTGTCTGTCTGTCTGTCTGTCATTCTGCCTATTTCTGTCTTTCTCTGTCTCTATTTCTGTCTGCCTCTCTGTATCTATCCATGTCTAAATCCTTCTCTTCCCCCCTCCCTCCCTCACTCCTCTCTCTCTCCCTCCCTCCACCACCTCCATCTCTCTCCCACTCCCCTACCCTCACTGATCTGATCAACCATCATATCTACCTGACGAACTTCCCCTTCACCTGAATAATTAGACCCTAGATATTTCCAGCCCTCACTTGGCTCATGTTGTACACCTTAACCCAGGCCAGGTTAATTCTGACCAATGAACAGGTGGGTAATTCAATCAAGACTATTTAGAGTGTTTTGGGGAGTCAAGGTTTCTGTTAGCGGGGTCAATTGTATTATGAAATGTAGTCTCTGTATATTGAATGTTGTTGTTATTATTATTGTTTTTATTATTATTATTATCGTTCTTCTTGCTGTTGTTATTTTTATTGTTTTTTAATGTTTATTATTATTATATTATATTATATTATATTATATTATATTATATTATATTATATTATATTATATTATATTATATTATATTATATGCTGATAACCACAAGAAAACAAGAAAACACGAAGTTCCCAAGCGCTTTCGTGTAATTCACATCCTCAGGGGCGAGTACAGACTGTACTCGCCCCTGAGGATGTGAATTATATGAAAGCGCTTGGGAACTTCGTGTTTTCTTGTTTTCTTGTGGTTATCAGCATATACCTGTATCACGCGCACCTACAGTGATTTACTTGCATATTATATAATACAGTATTATTATTATTATTATTATTATTATTATTATTATTATTATTATTATTATTATTATTATTATTATTATATTGTATTATATTATATTATTATTATTATCATTATTATTATTATTATTATTATTATTATTATTATTATTATTATTATTATTTTTATTATTATTTTATTATTCTTATTATTATTATTATTATTATTATTATTATTATTATTATTATTATTATTATTATTATTATTATTGTTGTTATTATTACTGTTAGTATTATTATCTTATCTACATATAAGTACAGCTCATGCCTCTTACTTTCACACTCACTCACTCACTCACTCACTCACTCACTCACTCACTCACTCACTCACTCACTCACTCACTCACTCACTCACTCACTCACTCTCCCCTTCAGAGTGAAGAGCTTGCCTGGAAGTGTTATGAGAATCAACTGTTCGCGAAATTCCTCCTTTGAGCGTGATGATTCTTCCCAAGTCACTGGGCACTCGGTAAGTCACTTGGCATTGAGTGACGTAAGTCATTGTGGAGGTAGGTAAGTCAGTGTGTTGGTAGGTAAGCCACTATGGCGGCAGGTTAGTCGCTATGTAGGTAGGTAAGTCAAAAAGTTGGAAGGTAAGTCACTATATAGGCAGGCAAATCACTGGCCAGGTAGTCTCCATTGCTCCAGTTTGATAATAGTTTCCATGTTGTTAATCTCTACTTTGTCATGTTAGTAATATTTCCTCTCCCTCTCACAGGTTCGGTCAGAGTTCCTGTCAGTGCCGGGAGTCAGGTTACAGTCGACGGGGTCCAGCAGTGATGGATACAGTGCTGGGTCCTCCAGTCACGACCTGCCGGGGGAGATAACAGCCATGGCCCTGCTGGGGGTGCCGGGTCTAGGTCCTCGAGGCAACAAACCTGTACTTCAGTTGGGTGGGATGGACTGGGACAGTGACCATGCCACCGCTGAGTGGATCCAGACCATCGATATCAACGTCATCCAACCCACACCTAATATCTCCCCGTGTGGGTCGGTTCGTAGCGTTTCCGACAATGCCGAACTGGCGAGGTTGCCGTTGCCTGGTCGGGGTCGTGTTGCTTCTGTGATTTCCCTCGACTCACCAGAGTTTGATAATCGATCGATCGGGTCTGACTCGGTGTTCATTGAGGACTCAATAGGTGATACGTACAGCAGCCTGTCGGAGGGAATAGATCACGGCACTCTCGCGTTCCAGGCGTCACAACGCTCCTCTCTTACCCCGTCACCTAGAAACTCACTTCGCAAGATTCACTCTTTCCGTTTAGGTATCAATCCTTCAGTTCCTGCTGCTATTACCGTTCCTGCCCCGTCCGTGCCAACTCGCGCCCAGACAACCGTTAACGGCCAACAACGCCCACGTGACCAACGGAGCCGCCAGAAACTTCTTAAACGACAGCAGGTGCAGGACATTCCTATGCCCAGCATTACACGTTCTGGCCCCGCTATGTCTTCACTGCTTTTGCCTGCTCTAGGAAGTCAGTTGAGCACCTCATGTGAGCGCCTCGCGGCCCACTCTGTAATAACCACCGAGAGTGACCTGGGCAGCAGCCGCGGCTCTAACTCCCTGACACCTGTTGGCAGCATTGAGGAAGAGCCCATGTGTGCCGTGTTCACAGTGCCGACTCTGCGACGGTGTAACTCGGCCACGACTCCTGACCAGAAGGAGGAAGCGGAAGGTTGGAAACGTTCTGACAGCGCACAGAATCCAACAGTGCGACGATCAGACAGCGCTGCGAACCCACAGCGACAATCAAGTGAGTCATCCAGCGGGTCCGACGAAGCCAGCGAGTCTGTATCATTCCACTTAATGGTGCCAGCACTAAGCATAGATAACCCCAGTGGCGACACCAGCCGAGCCTCCTCCCCAACTCTATCCCCACCCAGCTCTCCGAATTCCTCCCCACCACCTCCACCACCTCGCCTTTCCCCAAGCCCACAGTCTCCACGTACCAGAGAGCCACCAGTATCACCCACACCTGCCCCAACAACAACACGAGGGAGGTCCGGGAGAAGTAATGGCGGTCGGCGGGTGCTTCGACGACAGTACAGTCAGTGTATCCCGTCGAGCCCTACCCTTCTGCGGGAGGTTCCTGCCCCTAACTCTCTCCCGACCTACGTAGAGGAAAACGATGTTGAAGATGACTTCTCCTTCCCAGCAGCACCGCCCCCTTCACCCTTCAGAGCCGGCTACTCCCTCTTCTTCCGTCAGGACTCTGGGCCTCCTTCACCTCGTTTAGCCGCCCACCACTTTAACCGGCAGGACTCTGGACCTCCTTCACCACTCTTAGCTCCTCAACACGTCAACCGGCAGGACTCCGGGCCTCCTTCACCACTCCCAGGTGCTAACTATTTCAGTGGTCAGGAGTTTGGGCCTTCTCCTCCTCTTTTATTTCCTCATTACCTCAGCCGCCAAGACTCGGGGCCTTCTCCTCCCCTCTTATCTCCCTACCATCTCCTTCGTCAAGACTCTGGGCCCTCTTCTCCCCTCTTATATCCCTCCCCTCTCGGCTACCAAGACTCGGGACCTTCTCCTCCTCTCCTGTCTCCTTACCACCTCTTTCGTCAAGACTCTGGGCCCTCTCCTCCCCTCTTATGTCCTTCCCCTCTCAGCCGTCACGACTCCATGCCTTCATCGCCCCACTTATCTCCCTACCACCTCACCCGTCGAGACTCCAGCCCAATGTCACAACGCTCAAGAGACTATCAACTTTCCAATCAAGAGTCCAGCCCATCTTCGTCCCTCCGCTCAACCCCGTATGATCGTTACCAAGAAGACAGTCCCCCCTCATCCACTAACTCAGGCTCTCGCTCTCATTATCCCGGAGATTCCAGCCCACCTTCACCCACCCAGGACTCCAGCTCACCCTCAGTCGAACAACCAACAGTTCACCAAGAAGACTCCCGCGCGTCTTCGCCTTCTTGTTCTGTCATGGAGACCTCCTGCTAACCCTCGATATCCTCGGTGTAGGATCTCTGTAAAAAATTGCTTGATGAAAGAGGTTAAATGTATATCAAGAACGCGCCACGAACCTCATGTAACACACACTAACTACTCAGCGTATTAGTTGTATTAGATGTAACATATTTAAAGTGTCCCAGAAAAGCAAGTGGTATAAATTTCTCATTTTACAGACATCGTTGGCATCCCTTATGTTAAAGTTACCCTTCAAGAATTTCCATTTTCTCTGACATAGAAATCTTTCGTTTTCTGTAACTCTCCGCTGGTGTAACCATGTTAATACGGTTAGATAATTTTCCTGCGCCCAAACGGACCCAAAACTCTATCTTCACTCACCCGCAATTTCCAGAGAAAATTCAGTAGAGAATAATATTGAACCAATATTGCTCCAAACACTAACGAACTTTCAATTGATGAGTATGTGATTATATTTATTTTATTTTCTCGACCCGAAAGAAACTTTTCACAGGTTTGATTAAACGTCAACTTTCCACTGATAACAATAGTCATCATCAAGTGACAAAAAAAAAAGTGGATATTCGGGCGAGAGAGGCCAGGACCGGTGAAATTCAACCTTTTCGTTAATCATTGTATACAAACTAACGTATAGGTGTTGAGCCAAACTGACATACATACACACATACAGGCAACTGACATGTAAAAATGACTTTGCACCATCTGTGAATAACTGTTGTTTAACTTTCATGCTATACCGTCGGTGTGATAAATCAAAATATCACGACCCAGTGACCCCTGCCACCCGAGGCTCTCACCCCGGATGTGTCGCGAGTGACAGCGGTCACACATTCATCCATCTGACCATTTCATCATCCAAATGTCATCCATACAACCCTGAAGGAGAAAATTACATCACTGATTAGTCCTGTGGTTTGATAATGCTTAGTGGTGGGCTGATATATATATATATATATATATATATAATTTCTGTGTGTGGAACATCAAGAAGACTATGGCTGTGTTCGGGAAGAGGCCGTTTTTATTGACCGATCAGAAAGCGTTAATCACTCAATGACGTCATGATCATTATCCAGAGATTGATTGTATGGGATTTGTTGACATGACGTCACTAACCTTGGAAGGGAGGGGAGGGGGTCAAACAGCTGATTTAACTACCACAAAAGACTTTTTTCTCGAACACAGCCTCTTATTATTTATTTATCTGAGTGATATATAAACTTAAATACACATTTATGCATAGAAAAAGTGTAAGAAAGAGACACCCATTATTGAAATGATTTATATTTGTTTATATACTTTATAAATGACAAAAAAAAATTCATTGGCATTTTCATTTTCCTCATTTTGTGTCTGTGTCTGTGTACAGTTAGCTCATGGCCGCCCCACTAGAGGTCACAACCACAACCTGAGGAAGTTGTCAGCACAGAAAACTCAGATTTTGTGAACAAATCTACCAGTGTGACAGCATAAAGTGTGAGGTGGTGCATAGCCCGTACACACAGGCCCAGTACTGGCTAGTGAATCAACAAGTGGTGGAAAGGATAAATAGACAAGTAAGAAAATCCTTTCTATCCTAATAGGTAGTAGGTAGTAGGCAGCTACCAAACAGGGAGGTACTACCGCCTGGGAAGATATTGGAAGCATAATGTGTTGTCTAATGGTAGACCTGCTGCCATATGGCATCACAAAAATTGTGACCAAGTCCCAGGTTGCTGATCTGACTTTCTGCCTCATTTACACACAATTGCAGGGTCTCAATTGTTTCTCTTACTATTAACAACACAACATACATATATCATTTCTCACTATTGATATTTTTATTTTTTGTTTTTGAATTTATTCATGGCTCTTTATTATTACAGGGGGTATTATTATTATTATTATTATTATTATTATTTATAATTTTTATAGACTTTTATTATTACTGTATGTGTATTTTCTTTTATTATAATTATTTTTTTTAAATATTATTATTATTATTATTATTATTATTATTATTATTATTATTATTATTATTACTATTATTATTATTATTTTCTTTTATTATAATTGTTATTTATTAAATATATTTATATTAATTTTATTACTATTATTATTATTACCATTATCATCATCATTGGCATAATTATTATTATTATTATTGTTTTATTATATTTTCGCCCCCCGGGTCTTGATGTGGGTCATTAAAAATGACCAGTGCCCGGGTGGGCTAATGCCCTTAAAGAAAGTAAAGAAAGATAGTTCTCAACACAAATGACCCCAGAGTCGTAATGTCCCTAATCTTAACACATGATGACCTGACCCCGCATCCTTATGATCCCAAACTCCATTGACTTCCTGTCCTAATGGTTCCCAATCTTCATTACTCCCAGTCGAGATCTTCACCAATCATGATGTCCTTACTTCCCTGTCCCAATGCCCACTGATCCTGATGTCTTGGTCAGGTTGGCGCCCATCAGGAACTGGGACCCAACACGATACTCTTATGATCCCTTCACTCTCACACGTTACCACAGCACAAAGGAACCTATGCGACTTACAAGAATGTGAGGTTAAGCAAGGAAGGAACGAAAGAAAGAATCCAGTGAGTTTACCAGATGGTCCGTGAGGTCAGGTCAGGTCAGGTCATCTTGAAATAACGCAGTCATAACCTCTCTCTGTTTTATTACTAACCCTCTCTCTTCGCCTCCTTAAATTTTCACGAATTTTAACAAAGGGAACTTTCTTAAATCTTCATATAAGTCTGTGGTTGTGTCTATTATATTTTACATAATGCGTCTCCTCATCTATATTATATAAGAAAACTAATCTCATATCATAAAGGGGCCACTGTCTTTTTTGACGTGTACTCACTTATGCATTTCCTTCTTATGCCCAAACTCACTCCTCCACCAGGGTGTTGGATCACTCTTATAATACACCCTCTTTAATACACTCCCTCAACACGTATGATCCAGGCAGTGTACCAGGTGTATTGGGGTTCCTCCTCCAACATACACTTTACTACACCTGAGTCTGAACCCTTTATTTAACTTCCTTTTTCTTTCCTTTGTCTGCTTATCACATGTTCCATCACCTCCCTTCCCTCTCCTTCACCTCCTTTCTTCCTCTCCCCTTCACTCACCTCCATCTTCTCTTCTTCTCTCCCTTTCCATGTCCTCCATCTCCTCTCCTCCTCCTGTTTCTCTCCTTGTCTTTGCCTCTTCCTTCTCCTCCTTGCTGATGGTGAAAATAGGTGGGTTAATTATGATTCACACCTGTCCATTATTACCTCCTACCTGTTGTTTGTATATCCTCCTCTCCACCCCCCACTACCTCTTCTTCTCTTCTTCCCTACCTCCTCTTTCAACCATCTCACCTCCTCTCTATTCCTTCTCCTCTCTCCTTCCCACCCTCCCTCTGTCTTCCCTTCACCCCCTCCTTCCTTCCCTACTCTCCTCTTCTTCTCCTTCTCTATCTCTCACCATAACCTCTCACACACATCAGCTTATTGAGAGCTACTGAAAGAAAAATATTATCCCCCCCCCCTCACCACCACTACTACCACCACTACTACCACCACCACCACTACCACCATCAACTAGGATCACCGTCACACTAAAACTATTTCCCTCCTATATCTCAGTCCTTATCAGTGTCTCTCGTTCTAAAGCTCGTTGTAAAGGTCAAGAGGTCACACACACACACACACGAAATAAAAAAAATATATATTCTTGATTCTCCTATAATGATCTGTTTTCTATGATCCTTTCGCTTACAGTTTGTCAGTCAGGATTTATAAGTTGTTGTTTATGTTCAGTATTTTTTTTGTTTGCTTGTTTATTTGTTTTATGTTGTTGATAATTACTCAGTTTGTATAGGTGATGTTGTTTAGTTGAATCTAATGGTATCAGTTTGTATCCTGGTTGTCTATCTGTCTGTGTAACTGTCTGTCTGTCTGTCTATCTGGTTGTTTATCTCTGTCTTTCTATCTGCCTGTCTATCTTCCTGTTTGTTTGTCTGTCTTTCTGCATGTCTGTCTGTCTGATTATTCTCTCTCTCTCTCTTGACATGTTCTACTAATCATCACAATTTACTGCTTACAAATTTCACCGATAAGATCTTCACATTAATTTTAACCTGAACTGTAAGACTCCCTGAGCAGAACACAGCCAGGGTTAGATCCTGTCATCGTCTACCATTGCCTAGTGACATACCTGGCGGAGTGACAGATGTGACAATAATATCTATGACCTAATGAAGGAAATTCTTTTGATAACCTGTATGTGTTTTTTTTTGTTCCAGTTTCGTTGATTAAAGACGAATTAAGGAACGTATGATATTAGCTACGTATATTTGTGACTTTAATGTCTATGAAAATTAAGACTAATTAGCAGGTGTATAATGTGTATGAATATTTTCACCTGTTGTCTTAGCATATTCTTCTTTCTTTCTCTACCCCACTTGTATCCCTCTCCTTCTGTTTACTCCTTGATCTATTACACATAAGAATAGGGAGAGGAAAGTAACGATGATTGGTGGAGAAATCAATTCACGCCACGACTGGACAAGCCTTGGGTAGATCAAGATGCCTTTTGTGGTCCCTTGAGCCTTTAACCCCTCGTCCAGAGAAACAACTAACAATTCCATCATGTGACTTAAAAGCAACTTGAAACTAACATACAGTTAAGTGGCGCAAAGTATCATTAAATAGTTTTAAAGTCACAAAATATATAATATGCCCCGTCCAGGTGTGTAAACAATCTCAACACCTGCCCCGTCCAGGTGTGTAAACAAGCCTCAACACCTGCCCCGTCCAGGTGTGTAAACAAGGCCTCAGCACCTGCCCCGTCCAGGTGTATAAACAAAGCCTCAACACCTGCCCCGTCCAGGTGTATAAACAAAGCCTCAACACCTGCCCAGTCCATGTGTGTAAACAAAGCCTCCTAACCTACCTGTCCAGGTTTAGTTTCACTGGTTCCTGTATGATCAAGGTGTTGTAGCCAGTCAGACCCTCAGGTGTATAAGACCTTATTAACAACTCTCTAAAGTCGCTGATCTGCTCAATTATCATAATCATAGCAGTGTTATTATGTAGAAAGTTCCTCCCGTTATTTATAGCATAGGCATGCACGGATGTAAAAGTATGCTGCTATATATACGGTATGCATAGGTGTGTGTGTGTGTGTGTGTGTGTGTGTGTGTGTGTGTGTGTGTGTATCCAAGCCTTTGTTGTTGTTGTATGAGTATTTCCGAGATAAAGAGAAGAGGGGGAGCGAGGAGCATCAATAAGATGGGATCGAGTTTCACCCAACAGCATCAGGTAATTAATTTAGATTCTCTCCCGACAGTTTCAATAGAGTTGAGTCTGGTGCTTGTCTCTCTCTTAACCCTTACAACACTGCTTATGAATGGGTCAACAGGTGCCTTGGCTGTGCCTCTGGGTGTGTGTGTGTGTGAGAGAGTGAGAGAGAGAGAGAGAGAGAGAGAGAGAGAGAGAGGGGGTACTATCACATGCCTACTATCTCCACCAACACACCTTTAACTCTCTCTCTCTCTCTCTCTCTCTCTCGACAACTCTCCTCCACCAACACGCACCCCTTTCGCTTTCTCTCCTCTCCCTCCCTCCACCACCACACCCGACCCATGAGTCACGCCCACATGCCCACAGGGGAAGGGAGGGAGTTACAAAGTTCAAGAGAGACAACATCGTGAGAGGGTGATGTGCATTGCTGTCTTGGTCAACCCCGCCTACTCTCACCCACCTAATAATGTGTGTGTGTGTTTGTACGTGTTTCTGTAAGTGTGTTTGTATATGTTTATAAACCTATACATATACAAACACATGTTATTATCTGTATCTGAACTCGTATCTGATAATCTGTACCTGTGCTAGTATCTATACCTATTTTATTTTCTGTCGTTTCTGAATCGAGTAGATAACCTGTAAGA